TCTAGAGGTGAATGACATTTGAGGAAGCTTAAGGAGAAAAACTGTCGCCCGTGGGGGGGGAGTATATGCAAAATCGGATGGTCTGCCGCTGAGAGTGTTTGATGTATGTCAGGAGGAGCCCATCGCGGTTTTTATCAATACCCTAAGCGTCACACGAGGAGAGGAGCTCTGAGGTCACGAGAGCATCACTGAGTGTCAGAGATGCCCTCATCTTATGGCCTTTCTGGTTACCGAGTCTGCCGACTAGGTGACGAAACAGGGGGCCCCTCAGCAGTCGGTTATGGATGGCCATAAGATTAGTGTTCAAACCGCCTTAGTGGTATTACATGATGAATACTGTCGCGCATCTCATGTGGTCTAAATCCATTCATGCTTAAATGTTAAGCTGATTCACAAAGCATGATTTGTTGATGAACGCTCATCGATGCTAACGGAACTCACTCGTCTTGTTCTCTCTGGAGGCTCACTTTCAAGCCCCGTCAGCAGCCGATCGGCGGCTGGCAGTTTAGGTGGGGGAACATTCCCAGCAAAGAGAAGGGGGACTGAAATGGCCATTTCTTGTGCATTAGCCGTCATCAGCCAGTCCTACTCAATCCAGGTGGGTAAGCAATCAGTCTAGAATCCAACTACCTTACCCATTTCATTAATACGCTTTTGGCAGATTTGAATGATTTATTTGGTAGGACTTTTTTGGAGGTCACGTTTGCCTTTTACTTATAACAATAAACTACTTTAATATTTTCAGTAACCCTACTTCCCCTTTATCGTTAAGTTCCACTAATATAAGGTCGAATTTCCATGAAAAGGCATCAGCTGCCTGAGCAACAGGAGTTTATGTTGGTGGAGTTGATTATAATTAGCTCAGTAAAACAAGTATAAGTGGCTTTAATTTAATATTCTTTGGTCGCTTTCAAAACAATTAAACATTAATTTAAGCTGGTTAACCGAGAATTAAATGTGTAACCACCAATTTCGTAAGGCGGTCGGGCGGAGGGAATAGATATATAGGCGGCCCTACAAGACAGTTTGCCATTTATTTTACCCAACTGTAAAGAACTCGGCGACCTCGGCTGGATTCGAACCCACGACAGCAATGCAAGGCAATGCAAGTATAGGCAACGCTACGTATTTTCGCCTGCTCTGCGTGACACCAGAGGAAAACGTGAGTTTAATAACGGGCGTGAGAGACTGATAGCTATGTGGTGGCTTCTAGATGGACTGTTTAGGAAATCCTGCTTGGGCAGTCAACTTACCGTATCTGTAGTGGTTAAGTCCATACGTTCCAGTGGCTGGGCGCGTAAATTGACCCAAGTGCTATTAAACCTACGATTCCCGATAGTGGGCCCTCGTAGCTCGGGTGGTTACAATGTTGACTTTATTCAAGCCTAGCTCCCTCTGTCATGCGTTCAAATTCAACTGAGGGCATCTAAGTTTTCACAATTTAGGTCAAATAGAGAGTGAAAATGATTTAAGAGTGTTGCAGAACTGACCGCAGTCTGTCTCATCGGAGACGACCTCCTTCAAAACACCTCCTTTAAAGCTTTTTCTCACGCGGCTAATAAGCCAAGG